CTAAAAATTATCAAGTAGACTTGAAACCCCTAAGCAAACCCCTTGAAACAAAGGTAATTGGAAAAGCAAATCCAGAGACATAATATTCTTACTGGAAAAGTCACCACCATCAAAAAATGGATCATCTAAATTTACAAACATTTAAGGAAATGGACCCTCATGAGAGCAAGTCAGCAGATAAAATAAGTGAAAAATGAGCACACAAAACAAATGCTTAAAAATAACAGAACAATCTGAACAATATAGAAAATGTGTTCAAAATGAATAAAGAGGAAAAATAAAGTAGAAACCATAATGAAATAATACGACTATGAAAAGAAAGGCATATTTTTAAAAATTTGAAATTCTAGACGTGAAAATGTAGTCATTAAATTCAAAATTTTAGACACAATTACAAACCAGATTAGATACAAGTGAAGAGAGAATTACTGAAAAAAGAGAGATGTGGAAATTAACCAGGATGCAACACAAATAGGTAAACAGATAAATAAGAAAGAGGCTACGAAACAATTTCAGCAGAATGACAAATTTCAATATGTGCTTAATAGTTTTTTCCAGAAGGGGAAATTACAGAAAATGCGTTGAAAAGAGAAGCAACATTCAATGAAAAGAAAGAAAATATGAAAACTTTTCGGAATTTAAGGCCCAAATCATAAGGTTGAGGATTGGCATGAAGTCTCAGATACCTCAGAATGAAGCCATAAAACATCAAAGAAAAAGGGAAAATCACATACACTGTCATACAAATAAGACAGATTACCTATAATGGAATGTCACCTAGACTGACAGATTTCTCACCAGCAAAATTAGCATAAATATAACTGGGGGTCAGATGATTAGCCATGAGAATGGGCTGAGTAGGGAAAGAAGAGAATGTAGGAGAGAAATGCTGTGTGAGAAAGCAGGGAGGGCCGGGCGCGGTGGCTCCGCCTGTAATCCCAGCACTTCCGGAGGCCAAGGCGGGTGGATCACTTGAGGTCAGGAGTTCGAAACCTCCCTGGCCATCATAGTGAAACCCCGTCTCTACTAAAAACACAGAAAGTAGCCAGGCTGGTGGTAGGTGCCTGTAATCCCAGCTACTCGGGAGCCTGAAGCAGGAGAATCGCTTGAACCCAGAGGTTGCAGTGCACAAAGATTGTACCACTGCACTCTAGCCTGGGCAACAGAGTGAAATTCTGTGGAAGGAAGGAAGGAAGGAAGGGAAGGAGGGAGGGAGAGAGGGAGGGAGGAAAGAAGAAGGAAGGAGGGAAGGGAGGAAAGGAAGAAGGAGAGAGAAAGCAGGGAGGGAGGAAGGAAGGAAGGGTGGGAGGGAGAGAGGAATTGGGGAGCTGGAAATCTCTACAACGTCAAGGGGCAGATGACAGGACAAGTGGGGGATGGGAGAGGGTGAGGCGGGAGAGTAGTCTACTGGAACGGCACTCTTTGGGATTTTTGTGGCAGCATTTGTTTGTGGAAATAACTTATTTGTCTCTTTGCTACTACGAATCACTTGATCAAACCTTTTGCTTCCAATTCTCCTAAGATAATGAACTGAATACTAGAGGCCAACGACAGAGGGACAGATCAGTAAGGCCTGCTCCCAGTTCCACTGAATTATAGTGTACATAGTTGATAACTGGGCATCCGATCAGGTATTCATCAGAGGTGAATTTAGCTGCTCACTTTGAGACTCTGGCAGACTCGAATCAATTAAGCTTTGAGAATCAGCGGCATCAGCGGCAGGGGTGGCCACTGGGAAATTCGCCCATAGTCTAGGCCTCTGGATTATAATAAATGCCTTATCGTTATAGGGAATGGCTCAGGTACAAGGCTTGGCAGAGTTTGACCAATAAAAGGACGATAGATTCACTGTCCAACACTCATAAGAAGGAAGCCAGTCCTGGGAGTGTGATCCAGCTGGGAACCGAAGTCATCACAGCTGGATTCAGAGTCCCAGGGCTCGCCTCACGCTTACGAGCATTTGATGATGAGTCTATTACTCTCCAATCCCAAACTAGAATTTAGTGCCACAGAAGCAACCCTGGAGGAAACAATGGGGCAGGATTTCTTTGTTACCCTGCAGGGAGTTCAGGAACAGATACTGTGGGTGTTTTAAGGGTCCTGAGGATTTGCTCTAGTCAGGTACGGTAAGATATACAGACGCAGAGATGACCATCAGGAAGGAAGTGTATTATACATACAGATCCCTGGAAACTGGGGGCAAGGCACACCCCACGGGGCCACACGTGGAAACGCCAGGGTCAGTCAGGAGGCAGAGGGAGTGCGGGGGAAATGTGGGCAGAGCCTCATTGCAGTTTCTGTGGGAAGGAATAGGAGAGGCAGGGTAAGCACGTTTGAAATTGGCTACTTTGAATAATTTCAGTGGCGCTCTGGGGACTAGGGGCTGTCCCTGGTTGTAGGGTGTCTGCCTCTGGGGTGATGAGGGTAGGAGGATAGTAGCCCAGGGCTACTAGTAAAGAACCCCTTTTACAGGCAGGGGCTCCCGGAAGAGTTGTTTGCTATCTCTAGGAACTGGCTAACCTTCCGCAGACCCCCTAGAGAGAGCACGGCCCCAGGAGTTATGGCATCAGAATACAGGAAATTAAAGTCATGGTTAGTGCAATGGGATAGCCACAAGGATTTGTCTAGCAGGTTTGCAGGTCCACGGAGAGGTCTCTTTCCCAGTTCCCAAAATGGAACTGCCATCGTGGGGAGGTCACAAATCGCAAGAAAGAGTCGCCAACTGGTAACATTTCTGCATTTCTGAGGCTTAATTAGTATCATACCCTACATTAAAGAACATTCATGAAAATAAGCCATGCTTACATAGACAAGTATTTTTTCAGATATTTTCAATGATATAAATTAAACATCATTATGAAAGATCTTTACAAATCCAGAAATTATGGGTCATGTAATTTACACTTATTGCCGCTAGATGGCACTGTAGCGTATTGCTCTTGCGAAAGATGCCAGCTCAGTTCAATTAGGATTTTTTTTTTTTTTTCCAAATAAAACTTATGGCTTGCAACTAGTTCTTAACAATTTAAGAATCTGGCCAGGCGTGGTGGCTCACACCTGTAATCCCAGTAATCTCAGTGCTTTGGGAAGCAGAGGCGGGAGGATGGTTTGAGGCCAGGTATTGAAGATGAGTCTGGACAACATCGTGAGACTCCCCATCTCTACAAAAAATCTTAAAATGTACTGGGTGTGGTGGCACATACCTGGAGTCCTAAAGTTAGGAGGATCCTTTGAGCCCAAGAGTTAGAGGTTATAGTGAGCTATGATTGTGCCACTCACTCCAGCCTCTGCAACAGAGCAAGACCCCATCTCTAAATTACCTATAAATAGTAATAATTCAATAGTCTGATGACTTTTGGAAAATGCAATCAAACATTCTGTTTTTTCCAAAGCTCCTAGAATTAGAGCTTAGCTAAAGCCTGACCCAAATCTCTGAAACTATACAAAACTACGCGTATGCCTACACATGTGTGTATCTGTCTGTTGCAAAAGGGTTCCAGAGCTCTCAGTAGAGTTTTCGAATTCTCTGTGGCCTTCTTCCCTATCAGAAAAGACGCCAAATACCAATACTGCAATCCCTAGCTAGTCATGCTGTTTGAGAACTAACCTTCTGAGTTCATCTCTCTCTGACTTCTCAAAACTAAATAGGATGGAAAGGTACCTATTCTCAGGTACCACTTTTTGACATTTAAAATTTTTGTCCCCAGTTTGTGAGAATGGGACTATAAATGCTTTTAATAACAAGGGTTGGGTGGTAGCAAGTTTAGCAGACCTAGAAAGCCAGATACAACTGCGAGGTGAAGCCGAGATGGGGCAGTGTGTCAGGAGACACTGTCAAGGACCTGTTATTTTGGATGATAGACACAGAGAAGTGAGTGCAGCAAGAAGTTCTATCAGATGGAGAAGGTGGGGCGACAGTCCCAGAGCCAGCAGCCTCGAAACAAGTGCCTGACGCTAAGGTCCTAAGTGAAATTCTACCCAACAGGCAGGGGGCACAATTTCATTCAGAAATATGGGAGTAACTGATGGAGAAGGAAAACGTGCAACCATTCTTACGGTCACAAGTTCTGGTGTGCAAAGGCACGACTTTATCAAGAACTGAACTTTCACCTCTGAGCTCTAGCCTCTGTGTTCACATGGTAGCAGGGAGAAAAATATTAATATGAAGCACTACAGCTCTTTTGAGCACTCACTGAGTTTGAGGTAAATAAGCCCAATGGGGCCTGTGTCTCCAGCCCCAGCATCAAAGCAGGGGTAGCCAGTCCATCTTTGAGTCCCCTTGCTGGTGTCTGCTGTTGGTAGAAGTTGTCGTCCATTCTCTGAGCATGGGCTAGGCGTGACTATAGACCCAGGGAGCGTACAGGCTACGTCTGCTTCTCAGTCCCACCTCGACTTACCAACACCCCTGATCCTTTCAGACTCAGCCACACCGTCCAGCTGGTTCCTCCTACGGGGATCTGCAGCATCTCCGTTCTCATCACAATAATTCTGTGGTTTCATTCTCTAGTACGTCTAGTAGATAATAGGCGGCCAATGAATATATGAGCTAAAGGACACCAGGGCATCCTGCTCTGCCCTTTCTCCATCCATCACATCCCGCCATCCTTCTCCCTGCTAACACCCATGACAGCAGTGCCTAAGCTGCCCTCACCTGATCAACAGATGGACCCTGTCCAGTGAAGAGAACTTAGAGTTCCAAATGGTCAAAAAGTAAAACATTTCTGCTTCGTTACTATCAGGTTTTATTTTGAGAGGTGAATGAAAGAACATCTGTTTATTTCATCCAGCTGTCAAAAGACACCTAAACAATAGGTACTGTTATTATTTTACAGAAAAAAAAATCAAGACTTCAAGAGTTTAACTCCCCCAGAGTTACTTTATCACTTTATGAAGTGATAAAGACAGGATTTAAACCTCAGCACTTCTGACTCAGAAGTTGGAACTCTTAACCCCTCTATTTTATATTAAACTAGTATCTTTCTGTGTGTTGTTTCTTTCAGATTTGATGATAATGGCTACGTTAAAGACGTTGGAGCAAATTTCATAGTGTGGGAAATACATGGCAGGGATGACTATAGCTTTAATAATACTATGGCACAGGTATGGCATCTTTGGATTTAACCAGAATTTAGCATGCAACTAGACAATGTCTTTCTGTTTTAAATTTATAAATTAGCAATCTAAGGCAAATAGAATAAGGCAGCAGTGGGTAGGAAAAAAATCACCTCTAGATTAAATTATATGGCTACTCAAATTCATTTATGAAAAAAAGAAGTTGTTGTCACATAAGACAGACATAAAGGGGTCAGAAAAAATAAAATAACATTTATAGTAGGATGACGCAACTCTGAGTCTTCTTTTCTCTCCAAACTGTATTCAGTGTTTGAGTATTTATGGGTCTGCCTTTGGCTTTAGGACATTTATCACTTTTGCACTAAGTCAAATGGACACTCTGGGCTTCGTCTCACTCGGCTTCTCAGCATCATTTGACCCCGCTGACTTTGACTTCAATGTCCCTACGCTCTGCTGATTTCCTTCCACCCTCCATGACGGGTTGCTCTGGGCTTCCTTGGCGAATCTCCCTTTTTCTACCCTTTCACTTCGTAGGCCACAGCAGAGTGCTCTTACCACTCCCAGTCAACACGTTTCCCCTCCCTGTGTGGGCCTTTCTGCCCTGAGGACCTCCTGTCATGATGGGGCCTCCCTAGAAGTTACCAGCACTGATTCCTAATATTCCCCATAGATTTCACTCGGAAAAAAAAAAAAACAGGGATGGCTCTTTCCAAAGTAATGTTCTTATCTACCAGACACCTTAACATCCAGAAGTATAACCCACCTAGATGGCAGCCAAGAGAACTGAGTTCCACCTGCCACTCCCCAGAGTATTGCAAGAATTCTTTCTTTTGTTTTTTGTTTTTGTTTTTTTAAGAGTCTCGCTCTGTTGCCCAGGCTGGAGTGCAGTGGTGCAATCTCAGCGCACTGCAACTATAACAGCCCCCATTAAAACTACATTTAAGGACGGGGCATGGTGGCTCACACCTATAATCCCAGCACTTTGGGAGGTTGAAGCGGGATGATCGCTTGAGCCTAGGAGTTTGAGACCATCCTGGGCAACATAGTGGAACCCCTTCTCCACACACACACAAATTTTGAATTAGCCTGGTGTGGTGGTGCACACCTATAGTCCCAGCTACTCAGGAGGTTGAGATGGGAGGATCGCTTGAACCCAGGAGGTCAAGGCTGCAGTCAGCTGTGATCATGCCACTGCATTCCATCCTGGGTGACAGGGCAAGATCCCGCCTCAAAAAAAAAAAAAAATGCATTTCAGTTCAAACAGTTTACCCTCTGACCTCAACCCCCAATCCTTTAGCTCTCTCATTGTTATTCACACTACTCCAGTCTCCTACTTTGTCTCACGCAACCTGGCCACCTGCTGTATTGAACCCTCTACTTTCTCCTTCTCTCTCTCTCTTGTTTCCTCCCTTCCCTTCCTATCCAGCATGAGCTCCATAGTTCAATTCTCCAGCACCATCTTGCCAATATCGATTTCTCTGTATCTCTATCTCTATCTCATTTTTCCCAGTATTATTTCTGCTTGCTGTTACGGCAACTTGAAACACCCATCTTTCTGCTTTATCCATGCCTGTATCTGAGTTGCTCAATTCCTATCTTGGAGCTGATCACTTTCAGAAAAAAATTACAGCACTTTGGGAGGCTGAGGTAGGCAGTCACTTGAGGTCAACTCCAAGACCGGCCTGGCCAACATGGTGAAACCCTGTCTCTACTAAAAATACAATAATTAGCCGAGTGTGGTAGCATGCGCCTGTAATCCCAGCTACTCAGGAGGCCGAGGCAGGAGAATCATTTGAACCCAGGAAATGGAGGTTGCTATCAGCTGAGATCGTACCACTGCACTCCAACCTGGGCAACACAGCAAGATTCCATCTCTAAACAAATAAATAAATAAATAAATCTTAGAAAATTATGAATAGATAGAAACATCCTTCACCTATTGAAATATAGATATAAAAAAATTTAGCAAACATTATATTTAATGGTAAAAATTTGAAAACTTTCACTTGGAAATTAGGAACAAAACAAGGATGGCCGTTGTCACCACTTCTTTTTTTTTTTTTTTTTTTTGTTAGAGACAGAGTCACCCAGGCTGGAATGCAGTGGCGTAATCTTGGCTCACTGCAACCTCTGCCTCCCAGGTTCAAGCGATTCTCCTGCCTCAGCCTTCCGAGTAGCCGGGGTTACAGGCGCACGCCACCACACCCAGCTAATTATTATATTTTTAGTAGAGATAGGGTTTCACTGTGTTGGCCAGGCTGGTCTCAAACTCCTGACCTCTGGTGTTATCACCACTTCTATGCAACACTATTCCTGAAGATCTTTGTAATAAGAAAAAAATAATAAAAACAAATAAAAGGTATAAGAATGGGAAAGAAAAACATAAAACTGTCATATTCACGGATGACACAACTGTTCATGTGAAACAATTAGAATTAATAAGTGAGTTTAGAAATTCTCCCAGCCAAGCACATGCCTGTAATCCCAACACTTTAGGAGGCTGAGGCAGGAAGATGGCTTGAGGCCAGGAGTTCGAGGCCAGCCATGGCAACATAGCGAAGCTCCATCTCTACAAGAATTAAAAAACTAAAAGTTAGCCAGGCATGCTGGCACACACCTGTAGTCCTAGGTACTCAAGAGGCTGAGGCAGGAGGATCACTTGAGCCCAGGAGCTCGAGGCTGCAGTGAGCTCTGATCTCTGCACTGCAGCCTGTGCAACAGAGTGAGACTGTCTCAAAACAAAATTCTCTCAACACAAGGTCGATTTACAAAAAATCACTTGTCAATTATTCCTCTGTTTACCAGCCAACGTTCACATAATAAAAGTTTTAAAAAGACAAAATTTTCAATAGCAACGAAACATTAAATACTTAGGAATAAGTTGACATGGAAACTTCTGCCTCCCCACATATATATGCAATCTTTTGACAGAGTGGTTGTTTACATGAAGCACAGACATGGAAGTCAATGATCGAACTTAACCAGCACCTCCCCCTAGAAGAAGTCTGGGGCCCTGAGGTAAGAGACACATTGCCTTGCAAATTGTTTATTTGGAATAACTAATCTGGCATTTTGCTCTTAACAAAAACTTGATGGAAACATTTTGGATTTAAATTTGTTTGGGTAAACCAAATCCTATTTTTATATTGTATTATGGTATATTTAAAATGCTTCATCTTAATTTCTGTTTGATCTTTTGTTGGTTCTGTGTCGCTATTTTAATTTTCACTGCTGTAAATATGTGTTTGCAGATTATTAAATATCTGTTAAACATGTGAAAGCATCAAGAGTGAGTCTTTTTAAAGACTACCTAGCTCCCTTACTTCCTCAGTCTTTACTGAAAAGTCAGGTCATTGATGAGGACTTCCCTGGCCACCATACTGAAAAACTGAACCTTCACTTTCATGATAGCCCCTATTTGTCCCTCTCTATTTTCTTTCCTTTTTTTTTTTTTTTTGAGACGGAGTCTCTCTCTGTTGCCTAGGCTGCTACGCTGGAGTGCAGTGGCACAATCTCAGCTCACTGCAAGCTCTGCCTCCTGGTTTCAAGCAATTCTCCTGCCTCAGCCTCCTGAGTAGCTGGAACTACAGGCGTGTGCCACCATCCCCGGCTAATTTTTGTGTTTTTAGTAGAGACGGGGTTTCACCATGTTGGCCAGTCTGGTTTCAACTCCTGACCTCAAGTGATCCACCTGCCTCAGCCTCCCAAAGTGCTGGGATTACAGGCTTGAGTCACCACGCCCAGCCTCCCTCCCCTATTTTATTTAATCTCATTAGCGTTTATAACCATGACACGTTACATAGCCTACTTTCAAAATCTTGTTTATTTTCTAGCTCCCTTACTAGAATGTAAGCTCCATGAGGGAAATTTTGTTTTGTTCACTGCATCTGATGCATTGTAGGTGCTCATTAAATATTTGTGGACCAAATTAATTCATTCTAGATCATATGCCTATTTAAAAATCATAAGGGGGCCAGGCACGGTGGCTCACACCTGTAATCCTAACACTTTCGGAGGCCAAGGCGGGTGGATCACTTGAGCCCAGGAGTTCAAGACCAGTCTGGGCAACATGGTAAGACCCCATCTCTACAAAAATTAAAAAAAAAAAAAAATAGCTGGGCACGGTGGTCCATGCCTGTAGTTCCAGCTACTCAGGAAGCTGAGGTGGGAGGATCACTTGAGCCCTGGTGGCTGAGGTTGCAGTGAGCCATGATCACGCCTCTGCATTCCAGCCGGGGTGACACAGTGAGACCTTGTCTCAAAAAAGAAAAAAGATCAAATTAAAAAATAAAAATCATAAGGAATTAAACTGGTAATTAAATCAGTTAAAAGAAAACTTAACCTCCTGATTTTTCGTTGAAGGACATCCAGGGGTCTGGAGTTAGGGATAGGTATAAATGATAGGTGAGGATGATATCCCCATATCTGACAAAAGGCACCTAAATATTCTAAGATTCTGCCGAAATAACATACTCCAAAGAAGCAGCGAGCTCACTGGGTAATTGACAACCATGAAGCCTGCCGCAATCGGTATGATACGGTACAATGGTTCTCAGACTTGAGCGAACATCAGAATCGCCAAGAGACCTTGTTAAAGTAGATGGCTGAGTCCCGCTCCCAGAGTTTCTGATTCAGCAGGTCTTGGGTGGGGCCCAAAAATTTGCACCTTGATAATACTGATATGCTGATCTGGGGACTGTTTAAGAACAATTGAAATGGTAGCGTACAGTCTAGAAAGACTCTGGAGTGCCCACGCCAGGCCCTACGTATTCGATTCTACTGCATGAGAAACTTAAAGCTCCCCACTGAAAGGGTGAATTCAGTCTGAAGTCCGAATATAACAGAAAGCAGGTACCTGCAAAGACGAGTTATGTCCTCGTGAATAAGGCTACTCTCACTGACGGGTGTCATTATTATGTTGTATCTTAACTCAACATGGTAATCAGGGCTGCTTTCTTCCTGAAACGTATACCTGAAACGAAATAGAAAGCCTTCCGGTCATTGGAGCTACACTGATTGCTACATAGTCCTTCTGATTCTAGAAGGATTAATGACGCCTACATTTTAAAAAAAAAATCAGGGAAGTAGCTCTGGGGACTGTACATTCTTAGGGAAAACACTGAAGGACTCATAAGCAAAAGTGGCATTTTCACAGGTTCTCCTGGTAAGGTTGGAGGTTGAGAAGGAAAGGGAGAATATGGGTACTGACTGCTTGTCTACATCCACACAATACAGAATCGGATTTGAGTTTCTCGAAGTGGCTGAAGATACTAGACAGGGAAGTCCTTGGCTAAAAAGGCTAAAAATTGAGTATAATGCATGAGGCTAGGGGAGATTTGTTTTTTCTCTTCTTTTTTTTTAATTGAGACAGAGTTTCACTCTTGTTGCCCAGGCTAGAGTGCAATGGCACAATCTCAGCTCACTGCAACCTCCGCCTCCCAGGTTCAAGCAGTTCTCCTGCCTCAGCCTCCCAAGTAGCCGGGATTACAGGGACGTGCCACCACGCCTGGCTAATTTTGTATTTTTAGTAGAGTCAGGGTTTTACTGTGTTGGTCAGGCTGGTCTCGAACTCCTGACCTCAGGTGATCCACCCGCCTCAGCCTCCCAAAGTGGTGCTGGGATTTACAGGCATGAGCCACCGCGCCCAGCCAGGAGATTTGTTTTCTAAGAGGCTGGGTGGTTTGATCAAGAGGGCTTTCACATGAAAAAAGAAGGGGGAAAAAACAATAATGGCAAGGGACGGGGGAGTTTTAATAATGTAACAGGAAATATCAGGCAGTGATATCTTTCTGGCAGTGACACAGAAAAAAAGCAAGAGTCAGCAGGTATCATCATTCACATTAGGAAATAACGAAATAGGAAACAATATAAATATTCCTGCGTGTCTATATACAAAAATACATAATGACACAAGGCTATTAAGTCTTTGCTAGCAATGCTTTGTTGTATGATATATGCACAGCGTCTGAACATATTTGGAATATACCACGTCCTTTTCCAATTAAGTTCATGGACCTATGTATTAACTAACTTGGTAAGACAAGTTTCACAGTTTATTTTTGACCTGGAAGAATGCTTCACCAAAAAATATAAGGTATTTTATATTTTCAAGTGGGGATACATTAAAAAATGGGTCTTTTACTTATTTTTCATTAACCCAACATATTGTTTCATAAAAGTGCTACAGACCACAATGGCAGAAAGGTAGACAAAGGCAAGAAATGCTAGAAGAAACCAATTTTTCAAAAAGCAATGTCAAAATGATTTTTGGAGTTTATCGAGACATATAGTAATATTTTCAAATTAAATATAATCAAGAGTTTTAGGGATGCCGCTTATGATTAAAATGTAATTATAGAATAATTCACCTACATAAAATAAAATGACCTGCTAAGAAGGGAAATAGAGGAATTTTCAGTGAGAAGGAATTATTCAGCCTTTATCTCTCCCCTCAGAATAACTAGTCCTGGTCTGTGTCCATTGAGGCTTCTGTTCCTAAGTTCCCACTCCTGAACCTGGCCTTTTATCAAACGAAGGATGCAGTGGCCTATACACAAGAATCCTTCAAAAATCCTTCCCTGGATGATTAGTCAGTTCTGGTAGTGTGTTTTGAATTTTTGTCCCTTCCAAAACTCATGTGAAAATTCCATCTCCAATGCGGCAGCATTGAGAGGGGGAGCCTTGAAGAGGTGATTGGATGATGAAGGCAGAGCCCCCAAATGTGGATTAATCCATTCACAGATTCATGGATTAACGGGATAATGGATTCGTGGGTTTCATGGGAGTGGGACTGGCAGCTTTATAAGAACAGGAAGAGAGACCTGAGCTGTCATGCTCCGCCCCCTTGCCATGTGATGTCCTGTGACACTTTGGGACTGTGCAGAGTCCCCACTAGGAAGATGGCCCTCAGATGCAACCCTTCAACCTTGGACTTCTCAGCCTCCTTGGAAAGGCATGAATTCCTTTTCCTTATAAATCACTCCGTTTCAGGTATTCTGTTATAAGCAACAGAAAACAAACTAACACCCAGTGAAAACCTCCTCGGCTCAGCACAGGTTGCTCAAGCTGTGTTCCTGAAGCTTCTGCAGCTGGCACCACCCTGCCCGTGAGTCAGTCTCCTGAGTCCCTCCCCTGCTGCCTGGTCAAGCTGTGTTCCTGCAGCTTCTGCAGCTGGCGCCACCCTGCACGTGAGTCAGTCTCCTGAGTCCCTCCCCTGCTGCCTGGGGGTTTCCTTCCCGGAAAGATGCCACAGATGGGGCAGGTATGGCAACATGGGCATGCAACACATTTAGATTCTTTATAATGACTCTAACTGAAGCCAAAGGATCTATGACAAGTCTGTTTTCTCCGAAAATTCCTTGACAGTACAGGTCCATACAACTCTACGCACAACAAAACTCTGTCCGTCTGGTGATCTCCTCCTTTGCTTTTTATACAAATATCTTCCAGACTTTTCCCAGAGGTCTGTCAAAGTAGAGCTGGACACATGTGTTCCCTGTCCCTGGTTACTATTTACTTCCTCTGCTCTTTCACATCACAGTTTCATTAACCCAAGGAGGGAACCCACAGCCAAGGCAACCAGCCAGGGGCGTACACACAGCCGAGTGTCAAGTGGGCCTTCTGCTCCATTTAGTCAGACTGGGTTTTTGGCTCTACTCATACTTGTGGTTACCAGAATATAAATGGTAAGCCACCTTCTCCTCCTAATCTTTTTTTTTTTAATTAATTTTTTATTTCCATTTTTACCATGTAATATATGCATGTAAAACTCCTCCTCATCTTGATGGCCTATGCATATTACTCTGAACTCAGTCGTGTAACATGTTACATTTTTTTCTGGAATGCATTTTAGCCTAAAATTTTATTACTCCCAACAATTGTCCTTCAACCTGGCTGGGGCACGGGCACTCTGATGAGCGACCTCTAAACGTTCCTCTCGTTGTTGCAGCCCTCATTATTAATTCATATTCCTGGGAGATAACTGGGATTGGTAGAGTTGCCCTGCCACCACCTCAGTTATGTCCTGGGGTTGGGAGCAAAAGAATCTGTGCCTGTCAGCTTCTGGAATGAAAGGTGGGGACTTGGAATTACCCTCACTCTGATGATATCCAAGAGGAATCAGCATTCTATTAAAAATGATGATGGACTCTGGACAGACAGGAAAAAAAAAGACAAATATCCACAAACATCGCTCTCAGGAAGAGGTGCTACTGGAATTCTTTAATTAAAGTTATACTGTGAAATTAGCTACAGACTTTGATGACTATTTCATCTCCTAGAATAAATGAAGAATACAGTCATACATCACTTAACAATGGGAATATGTTCTGAGAAATGCTTCGTTAGGCAATTCTGTCATTATGCAAACATCATAGAGGGTACTTACACAAACGTAGGCAGTGTAGCCTACTATATAACTAGGCTATGATAGAGCCTGTTGCTCCCAGGCTGCAAACATGAACAGCACATTACTATACTGAATAATGTCAGGAAATGGTAAGTATTTGTGCAATAGGAATTTTTCAGCTCCATTGTAATCTTATGGGACCACTATTGTATATGTGTTCTGTCAGTGACCGAAACATTGCTATGCAGTACACGACTGTAATTGATTATTGGAATGGAAGTAATAGTATGTAGGATATGTCTGTATCCTCACATTTCATGATATCCAGGTAAGTAAGGGCAGGCATAATCAGAATTGTACCTCACATCTGAATAAAACAGTTTTCAAAAATTTCAGGCCAAGTATTGTGGCTCATACCTGTAATCCCAGCACTTTGGAAGGCTGAGGTGGGAGGATTGCTTAAGTCCAGAAGTTCGAGAGAAATCTGGGCAACATAGTGAGACGCCCATCTCCTTTAAAAAAAAAAAAAAAGGTAAAAAAATTAGCCAAGCTTGGTGGCACATGCCTATAGTCCCAGCTTCTAGGGAGGCTGAGGCAGGAAGATTGCTTGAGCCTGGGAGATCGAAGCTTCCGTGAGCTGTGAGCATGCCACTGAACTCCAGCCTGGGTGACAGAGCGAGACTCCATCCCTAAAAACAAAACAAAACACACATTAATTCAATAAATGTATCTTGACTACCGTGTGCCAGACTGAGGATATAGCAGTATGCAGTAAGCTTCCCTCTAGAGCTTACCATTATTGCCATCTAATCATGATAACATTTTCATCCACGGAGTTGCCATGAGGAAGTCTCTTTGAGACTGTGCAAGAGCTGATTCATCACAAAGCTCTACTGACTAGAAAGTTGTTCGTGAAGGAGGAATGTTTCAAGATATGTAGAAAAAAGAAAAATACCATTGTCTTAGTACATGTTGTACTGCTATAACAGAATGCCAGAGGCTGGGCAATCTATAAAAATAGAAATTGATTGGTTCATGATTCTGGAGGGTGGGAAGTCCAAAATCAAGGAGCTGGCATCTGGTGAGGGCCTTCCTGCTGCATCATCAGATGGCAGAAGGCAAAAGGAGAGAGAGGGTGAGGGCGAGTGAGAGGCCAGGCAAGGCGGGCTGAACTCATCCTTTTATAAGCAGCCCACTCCACGATAACGGCATTAACTCATTGATGAAGGTAGCGCCCCTGTGATCCAAACCCCTGGTTGGCCCCGTTAGACCTCACTTCCCATCTCAACTTTTGGGATCAAGTTTCCAACACGTGAGCTTTGAGGGACGCATCCAAACCATGCAACCTTGAAGGATGTTGATAGACAAAAGCTCAGACACATCCAAAGTAATGACCTTGTAAGGCTTCCTGTTTCCTTCAGATGAGAAGCTTTCAGAGAGCAAGAATGGTAGAGGAAGAGTCCTTTAAGTAGGGTGTGAAAACATACAGGATCTAAAAGAACCCAGAAGCAATGCCATGTAATAGTAAGATCAGGTATCTGCAAGTTTTAATAATCATTTGCTTTCATTGCATTTGTTTTAACAGAGTAACCTTTAAAAATACAGGCTTGTTTCATCTGTGTTTTTTAAAAGGCAGGCAGGAGACAGTTTGTATCTTGAGACCCATAGAAAGACATGGTAATGGTAATGGGGCTAAATGAAGATCCTAGGGGAAGATAAAAACCCAAGGATGTACGATCTTGACTGTTGTGTCTGTACCTTGTGATCGAAATCGTTTCTGTCCCCACTTAAGCATCTTTGGAGCATTTTGTATTTTGTTGATTTAGAAAAATAATATGCTTACATATTCTCAACACTCTAATTTAATTGTTTATAAATACATTTGCTTTCACTAAGCATCACTTTTTATCAAATTTTAACCCAGTGTAACTCTTAAAAGGCTATATAGAGCACTACAGTGGTAAAATAGAAGGGAATAGCCATTACATCTCTAAATAAGTTTTCAAGATAAATAAGACTATAATTTTGCTTATCAGAGTCATAAAATGACCTTAAAATTTTTGTCTTTGTTTCTTGTTCAGAACTATATACACTGTTTTTCTTATACTATGGGAAAACCAGGAGACTTAAATCAACCATACGAGATTATCAACAGTTCTAATGGCAACCATATATTTTGGCCCCTGGGCCATTCTGGAATGTATGTATTTCGTGTGAAGATCCTGGATCCAAACTATAGGTGAATATATGTGTTACTGTACTAGTGTTAGCATTAGTTCTTCAAAATGAAATCTTCATTTTTTTAATTTGATGCATCCTATACATTCAATCATTGTTATTCTTGTTATTTACATATTTGCTTTTTCATTTTGTAGCAATCACATGAAACATTCTATGTGGGTAGAAGATTTTATGTTAAGTGTTAATTAAATTAATCAATTTACAGTTACATTCTGAGGACTTCCCTGGGTTCAGTTGCCATGAAAGATCCAAATATAAGCACAGTCTCATCCTTCAAGGTATTTACAATTAAGCTGCCTGGAGAAGGAGGAGTGGGGGGAGGGGTACACATAAAAGCCAAGAAAAGTTAAATCAGAGCAAAATACAGGAGATATTTTTCAAATATAATTATTTGCATTATTGACAGCACAATAGTAATTCAGAGATGGGAAAGATTAATGCTCTTTTGAGTAGTAAAAGAAAACTTTCTGGGGAACACAGAACATCGGTAGAATTTACGTTGCCAGAAGACTGGGACAGAGGCTTCCAGTGAAAGAAATCACACTGATAACGGAATGCAGCTACATGTTAGCAAAAGGTTAGCATATTGTCTACGGCTTGTGGAGTCACAAAGGAAGGCAAAAAGTGCCCTGAATGAGGAAGGTAGAAAACAAAGGAGGGAGACAAACTTACAACAATTCATAATGTTTAAGTAAATTTCAGCCCATGTCCTAGAGACCTTCATTAGTGTCTTCACAAGGAAAGCGGTGTGATGAAAGCATAGTTCAAGGGAAATTAGCCTGAGAATAGCATAAAGAATGGTACGGAAGAAAAACAGGCCAGGCGCGGAGGCTCACATCTGTAATCCCAGCACTCTGGGAGGCTGAGGCGGGAGGATCACCTGAGGTTGGGAATTCGAGACTAGCTTGACCAACAAGGAGAAACCCCGTCTCCACTAAAATACAAAATTAGCCGGGCGTGGTGGCGCATGCCTGTAATCCCAGCTACTCGGAAGGCTGAGACAGGAGAATCGCTTGAGCCCGGGAGCCAGAGGTTGCAGTGAGCTGAGATTGCGCCATTGCACTCCAGGCTGGGCAACAAGAGTGAAACTCCCTCTCAAAAAAATAAAATTAAAATAAAAGTAAAAATAAACTCTACATGGATAATGGAGAAGAGTGATGTTAACAAGGAAAGAGGTCAAAGGAAGGCCTAGTGGCAGTAAGAAGGGAAAGAAGGGAAAAAAGAGTCTGATGGCGAGAGATTATATCAACATAACGTGGCAAGTAAGAAAGTACTCGATATAGTTTCATGTTTTCTAGACCAGGTGATTAAAATAATGGTATTTCCTTTGACCACAATAGGTAATGGGGTGGTTTTACTTTGGGTGAGGTGTTGAGATAAGAGTTCTGACTTTGAATTTGAGGGGACAGTGAGATATCTAGGTGAAGATGTCCTATCAACAGTTAAGATTTCTAATCTCGGCCCGGAGTGGAAAGGAAGAGCTGATGATAAAAAGTTAACAATACAGATGTGGGTACCTTCTATGAGGATTCAAGGAGCGTACATAAGTTAGCTGACTGATTATAAATAGAGAATGGAAGGGCTTTAGGGGACACCCACTGTTAAGGAATTTGGGGTGATGAGGAAGGGGCAGACCAGTGAGTTATTCAAATAAAAGAAAAATGAAGACAAAAATAGAAAGCTAATTTTTAAAAATGCAGTAAAACAGGATATTTAAAGGTGACTGTCACTAACAGAGATGTCCCAAACATGTTCTAAAATCATGATTATCAATGCAGGATTTGAAAAGAGGGTGTCTCAAAACTGGTTATTTCCACTATTAGCCTCTAAGCTATTCAAAGGCACCTTCGAAAGAAGGCTGGGAGTTCATAAGAAAGGCTAACAGAGAGGATTTCTTCTAGGAGACTTTTCCGAATGCCATGGGGACAAGAATGCTTCCCCACAAGTAAGAGGGGGCTTCAGAAAACTACTCAGGGAAACTAACATGGGCCTCCTGGTTTGGGGATGGGGGAACAAGTATTATGCCTAATTCTCATCTAGAAAGTTGGAAGGTAAGAGGATGCCTACAGGTGCACTGACAACAGGAGACATTAAATGGGTCTAAAAAACTGATATTTTATAGTGATATGAGGTATCATCCATAAGGAAGATAAAATATTCATGAATTTTATGTACCCAACAAAAAGCCAGACAATACATGAGACTAAAACTATTAGAAACAGGGTAAGAATATGACAAAAACAGTTTTATTAGGAGACTTTAATATATCTTTCTCAGAATTTGATAGATCAAGTAGTCATAAAATAGATAAGCAAGTGGAGAATGTGAGTAAAATTATTAATTAACCCAAGTCAAGAGATAAGTAAAGTGGAGTCTTGGCTTATCTAGGAATTAGGATCTAAAGTCAGTTTGTAAGGATAATATTGTATGTGGCCAAAATTACTTTTGATTTCTTATAAACGGTGTCATGCTAGAAACTGAAATAGCATCTCTCAGTGAGTCCAGTAGAGCCAGTAGTTCCACCAACATTTCAACAGATCTTTCGTTTTGTCCCAGTTGAAATACTTGATCCACATTTTAAGCCATGTGGTAGAAAAAATGGGTGCTGTTTGTCTTTTAACACTAGAATCATCTTTGTTGTGTAAGATGTTCACATGTGAAAGGCTCAGCAGAACTAAGACCAACTATGAAAAGGGAAGATTCCAGTTTCCCAGCTCTCATTCACTTCAGAATAGAAGCATGTTGAGTGGGTAGTGGGGAGGATCTGCCGCATCTTACAATGCCTGCAGAGCACACACATTCTCTCCCAGTGCCTAGGGAGACACTGTAAGTGACAATAATCTTATGGTGAACCAAAAATAAAATTTTAACAAGTGAAAGAACATCATTTTATAGGCTACAATTCAGGCTAGAATCTAAAAAATATAAATAGCATTCTATTTCTTACAATATGACAGATACAGTGTTCAGGGAAAGCCTTTCCTGCACAGTACATTTAACACGCATACACCTTTTAAATGCATGGCCACATGGATGGGAAACTGAGGGAATTATTTGTAGGCCAGAAATTCCGAAAAAGTGCAAATTCATTACATCCTATTGGAGTTATCTAAAGACGCTCTATCCTCCCTAGGGTTATCTGCATATCCCTGGCGACCTGGATCACAAGGCAACATGTAGGAGAAAGGAGAACAAGTGTGGGGCCCTAGCAGAGATGGAGAGTAGATCAAAGAACCTAAGGCTTTGAAGGGCAGAATCCTTAGGGAAGATGGCAAGAATACATGCCTGAATCAATCCTGGCTCCAGATTTAAAAAAATAAAATAAAATTATTCCCTAAGAGTTTTAACTACAAATGTACACTGAATAGATTTAAGCCTGGATTTCATATTAGCTGATTGTCCAAAAAGAATAATCTAGCCACAAATTTAAAGTGGCCCCAGCCTATGAGTGCCTCCAGTATGCTCAGCAGAAGCAAATGTATACCCCGCCTCTGGAGGATTGTGCTTTAAGCTCAAGCCTCAGAAAATTCCCAAAGGAAAAGCACCAACCAACAAAATAGAAGAGAAGAAGAAATCATGAACAAGGGTCAACAGAAACAACAATCCACAAAACCAACCTACAAAGCTTCCAATATTGGGTTTATTACATACAGAATACAAAATATGTAAGCTTAAATGCTGAAGTGTATTTACAAGAGAGCTCTGAAAGTACAATGAAAGAAGAAACTATCCAAGCTGACCAGAAGACCTGGAAAGAAACAGAGAAAATTTCTAAAAACAAAAAATATAATCAACTTAACTAAAAACTCAATACACAGATTAAACAAAAGACGACATTCACGAAAAGAAAATTAGTCAATGGAAAGAACAAATGTCCTCGACAGTCCACATCCTCATTTACTTTTCCAAAAAACTTCAACTTCCAAATATCTCCACCTACCATAGTGTCATTAACCCTAGTCACAAATGTACTTATTAGCCCCCCAAAAGAGAACAAACTGAAGTCTCACAGCTAGCCCCAAGTCCAAAGTCTGAATGATACCCAGGCCTCCTTTAATTTTGTCATGATCCTGCCTTCCTATTCTGTACCCTGTGGCCTTTATGGTGGCAGAGTTTACCACTACCAACACATATTACATAAAAGAGCAGGGGAAATGGGAGAAAGAAAGATCAGTTCAAATAGATGACAGCTAGGTAGAAAATAAGTACAGATACTGTATTCCTAGTATCTACATGTGATCATGAAGCTATAGTTAGTATTTTTTATTTTCTCCATTTTCTAACCTATGTTCACTATGTCTTTAGCCAGTATTTCAGGTTTATTTCCTAGTAGAATAACCTTAATTTTCTGTGTGTGTGTGGTTTTGTTTGTTTTTGTTTTTTGTTTGTTTTGTTTTGAGACAGGGTCTCACTCTGTCACCCAAGCTGGAGTGCAGTGGCGCGATCTCAGTTCACTGCAACCTCCACCTCCCGGGTTCAAGAGATTCTCCTGCTTCAGCCTCCTAAGTAGCTGGGGATTACAGACAGGTGCCACCCACCTGGCTAATTTTTGTATTTTTAGTAGAGACAGGGTTTCACCATGTTGCCAGGCTGTCAATTTTCACTACTAAGGAATCTGAGCTCTTAGCGATCCCTATCTGTACATTCCTGGGGCCATAAGTGAAATCGTGAAATCCACTCCAGTTCCATCACTTGGTTCTTAGATTCCCGTATTCTGGCTGTGGGAGAAACACCTCCAAATCTTACTCACTGACAAAAGTATTTACTTCATTGAAAGAGAATTCCCCAACCTCACAGATAACCTTTCTGCTAGCTTCACAGCTTTACAATATAATCATCCACACCAGAGCACTTCTGCAAGTAAAATAAAGCTTTATTAACATTTATAACCAAGCAGCAGGTGTAATACCAAAAGTGTCCTAGGTAGCCAGTAATTTTGGTTACCCTCATAATAAATAGCAGCCTTAAAAGTCCATGCTACTATTCTGTGAGGCCAGT